CATACATTATACATACAGATATATAGATACGCACGCCCACAATTCTTCATTCATTCATTTCATTTCATTCCAAAATATCTCTCTCTTTCTCTCTCCACTTTCTCTCTCTTCTTTGTAATATTTTGCAGTTTCTTGTGTTTTTGGGTTTTGACTTTCTCAAAGTATTAATTTGGTGATCAAGAAAATGGCTGTAAGTTTACCAAAATCACTCTTTTATGTTTTCTGGTAATTTAAATTGTTCTGAAGTGAGACAATAATTCTTGTGATTTTTCCTTCTTGTACTAAGTTGTTGTCTATGTGATTAATTACATATTTTTTCGAAATTAATTTAACGTGGTTTAATTAATTAATTATGTTTTTGATGATGTCGATCGTCTTAAATATAATCCTATTCGATTTTTCGCCACAAAAAAAATGAAATCGTGTTCGACTAGGATCCGATTATATATAGTCTTTTACATATACCAATCATTTTAACTAGTTGCTTCTCTAGCAAACTTGTTAACTTTATTAAATATGTAACGTTGCATCTTATTTTACAATGAGTTTACGAGGTTTTTTTTGTTGTCGTAATAACAGCAACGTGCAAGCGTACCACAATTCGGTATGTGGGACGAAGGCAGCGTTCCCTACACGGTCTACTTCGAGAAGGCGAGAAAAAATAAGGGTGTCGCCGGGAAAATGATCAATCCAAACGACCCCCAAGAAAATCCCGACATGTTTCTCTCCGCCTCCACCACTTCATCAAGAAGGGAGTCCGTTAGGCCGACAGAGGGTGGCGATTTTAGGCAATTCGGTAATTCCTCGACTAGGAGCGAAAAACCGGGCCTACAGCCCGTTGCGGAATCGAACTACGGTGGGCGTGGCGGGGCCCAGAGGCCCGCCCGATCCACAAGGCCTAGTTTAGGATCGGATAAAAGCTTCGAGAACACGCCAGTTCATCCGTCCGCGAGAGGAGGAGGTGGTGGGCCCCACCTTGTTACTCGTGAAGGAACAAGAAGCAACACAAGTAATGCTCACGGTACCCCTGCAAGACCACGCCCGAAGCCAGCTAGAGTCGATGAAAGTGTAAGATTTCATATTCGTATAAGGTTTATTGCGTTCCGAACCCCCCCTAGTTTTTCTAATTATTTAAAGGCACCTCATTTTATTCTATTTAGACAAAAATCCCCCTATAAATAATTTAAATTTTTAAACAACTGAAAACATCAAAAGTTGTAGCAAGTGTTCATTCATTCATACATATATTTCTCATTTAACATGTAACCTTGCTGATTCAAGTTGGATTAGAAAGCTAAGTCAGAGAAATACAAATTCTGTATTTTGAGTTTTGTCAAATTGGGGGCTTTGAAATTGAAGTCCAAACAATATTAGTTAATCGAAACGACATTTAACATTTCAGTTTAAAAAAAAAATGCATTATAAGAGGGTTTTTGTGAATAAATAACATGGGGAGTTCTTTAGCAATCTGATACAACAGACACAAAACACAGGGGTACTATTGTAATAAACTCATTCATATAACAACACTGTGTTAAACAGTATCTTTTGCAAATTATAAAAATATGTATAATAATATATACATGTTTCTATATATGTATAGCCCGAAAGAATCCCCGCGGTTCCAACATTTGGTGTTTGGAACGAAAATAATCCTGAATCGGCCGAAAACTTCACTTACATATTTGAAAACGTGCGGCACCGAAAGAACATCGACGCCGGAAATGCACCGGCTACTCCAAAACGGGCTCCACCTCCACGTGTGATCCCACGTCACAATAAGCCGTCCAATAAATCTAACGTACGTATTTCAAAATGTATTTTAATTAGGCTTTTTTTTAATGCATTAACCCCCTTTGATCTTTTGATGACTTGTCGTGTAAATGCAGAAAGGGTGTTGTCCTTGGTGGTAGAAACGATGATCGGGATTCGTAGTATATCCGTTCGAATTCGTTGAAGTGTATGACCAGGATCT